CCATCACAAGCCAGCAAAACACCCACGAAACAAAGAAAGGTCTGTCACAGCCAAAAAATACACTCCAGACACGCCGCTGGCACTAGAGGCACAGCATGGCCGCGTAGTGACAATGCAGCACAAGACATAGGCTTGAGGGCATGGGGAAGACGGATGGGCAAACAAACAGTGCAAGGCAGCAAGGCACATACTCAGCTAGATGGCATGGGCTGGCAAACAGCTCAAGGCAACAACGCACACCAGGTGAAAAACATAGGGTAGGCAGATGTGCAGGTAAACAGCATAAGGCAGCAGGGGAAAGATAGCAAGTCGAACAACAACAAAAAAACAACCGAAAAAAATAATAAAAGTTGATGATAGATTGTTTCGTCGGAATTGCACCGACTCATCAGGAGGCTGAACCCTCGACAATCTGCCGCATCCCCAGTTTTTGATGCGTTAGGTCATGAAACCTTTGACCCCTGTTGAAGGCAGGTTGCCCACAAACGGAACACAGCAGCAGCGAGTGACGCCGTTGTGAAGCATTAGGCAACACACTCAACGCCAGTATACTCCGCAACACCAAAGACGGCTGCAAGAGGGAGACAACGTCAGTGGAGATGAAGCATGGCACCCATTTGGGGGGGCACAAGCCCACACCCAAACGACAACCATCCGCCACGCCACAAACGAAAGGACCCAAAAGCGGAATACAACAGCAGCGAGCTACGCCGTTGTGAAGCACCAGGCAACACATGTGGCGCAACTCAACTGCCCAACACCAAAAACGACTGCAAGTGGACATGCAGCATGGCACCCGAGTGGCGAAGCACAAGGCAACACCCAAACGAAAACCATCCAACACGCCGCAAACAACAGGAACCCAAACGTCAAGGCACCCGAATAGGCAGCCCGGAGGCAGCGTAACGACGCACAAGGCACCGCCAGCAATACATCCAAGCCACAAAGCGAACACAACAGCACAGATTGGACAACCCGCAAAGCAAGAGGGATGGGCAGCAAGACAACAGTGGAACGCAGACAGCACAAGGCAGGCCACACATCCAACACAGAGCCAAGCCACACATGACCCACCCACATCACGGGTGAACACCGCAGACTGTTGGTTCCCACCACCCAATGAGCCAGGGAGTCACCCCGACGACCATCCGTCATCACCTACAGGCAACACAGACATCCCGAACCAAGCGGCCCCCATAAGAGTGCAGTAGGCACTCCAAACGAGGAACCACCGACTGTTTGACACTTCTTAAGGGTGCTCAGTTGGGTAACAAAAAATACTTAGAAAAAATATCAGGGGGAGAACAGACAACAACAGGAAAAAAAAAATAAAAAAAATCAGGGGGAGAACAGACAACAACAAGAAAACAAACAAACATAACACTGATCATATGTGTGTGTGTGTGTGTGTGTGTGTGTGTGTGTGTGTGTGTGTGTGTGTGTGTGAGTGAGAGAGAGAGAGAGTGTTACATGTTGCGCTTGCGCACGGGCCCTGTTTTGAAGGGCCCAACGGTTGCTAAGAGGACCCAGGCCACGCGCCATCCAGCGCACACCCTGGAGGCCCATAGCGGCCTCTTTGGCCACAGGCACCAGTAGGGTTCGTCCGAACATCGTTTCGGACTGCAAGTCCAGAAGACGTTTCGGACTGCAGGTCCCAAGGCAACGCCTTGGACCAGGTACGCAGGGACCAGGCCTTTTTCAAGGCCAGGCGCATTTTGGCGCGTCGTTGCATCAGCAGCGCAGTCTGGGCACCCGATAGGGACCCAAACTCACTAGGGTGTTTTGAGGCTGCACCTGAGTCCACCCAGTCAGCCTAGCACTACATATAGCTGGGCTGAGGCCGGACTCAATAGAGAGTTCGGTCGCTCACTTCTTGAGTGACACGCTGCTGGAAAGAGGTCGCGCTGCGCTACTGGACCAGGACGAGACGCACATAGGAACAGAGAGAGATGGAGGCTTACCTGCAGCAGCGGACTCACCTGGCGCCATAGCTGGGCTCCACGCGGCACCTGCATAGGGCGGCGACATAGCCAGCACGACGGTAGCACCTGTAGGTGAGACAGCGAGGAGGACGGCATTCTCTTCTCCCCCCTCATCCTCCATCTCATCTCTACTTCTTCCTCCTTCCTTCTTCTTCTTCCTCTTCTTCTTCAGATACAAGATTGAGAGAGGTTATCAACAGAGGTTACCAAGGGCATGTTGCCCACGATCCGATTCGACATTTCTGAGGCAGACATTGATTCGACACTCGGACTCCTCCCTCACCTCCATCTTCGTCTTCCCTCTCCCTCCATCCCTCGTCTATGGTATCTCCCCATGTGCGTGTACAAGGAGAGACCAACATGCTATTCATTAAAAGAGGACATTATATTTTAAATTGGTACTCGCAAGCTATTAATTTCATGTTAAAATCACCATATTTTGGACTGGAATGAAACTTAGGATACGAGTAGTGAACCCGAAGAATGCAATTGGCAGGCCATAAAAACATAGGATTCGTGAAAACCCAACCAAAAAAAATGTTGGGTTTGAACGAAATCTATTTAGGATTCTGAGCGTATGGTTTTTATGCGTTCTGTAGGAGCAAGATTCTTTGCAAAGCAAAAAAAACACAAAAAAAGAACAAAAAAACTAGGCTACCAGTTGTCCGATGGCCGGTTGTCCTGGGCGGACATCCTGTGCGGAGTTGTCCGGGATCCCAGACAACTCATTTTTTTCAAATCTGGAAAGGAAAAAGAAAAAAAAAAACGACAGGGGGGCTGCGCTCCACCAGGGGACCCCCCAAAACTTTTTTGAGGCCATTCGGAGCAAAGAAATAAAAAAACGTGTCGGGGGTGAGGAAGAGGGTGGGAAGCATATTTGCGACGCGTAGGTGAAGTGCGCTGCGCAGTGCTCTAATCCCAGATGAGCAAACGCATTAGCGCAAAAAAAAAAAAAAAAAAAAAAA